GGCAACGTGCTTGTGCCAGAGCCAGGGTCACAGCCTCACCCTCTGCTCAGTGGGGATTCAACCTGAAAGAGCCTTGGAAACGTGGTGAACGTAAATAGTATCCACCTGGCAACACTGTTCACACCTTTACCTCTGCTTCTGGGAGTCCTGTTCTTCCCTTGAGTCATCGCTTCATGCATTCATCCAACAATTATTTATTAGATCTTTAATGCTGCTGAGCAGTGTTCTAAGTCCCCAGCATCTTGTGGAAAACCAGACAAGGGACTGATAAACAAGTGAGTAAACAGTGTAACTTCGAATGTCACAGTGTTACTATTGTTAAACGCCTACAGATCCAACGCAATCCCTATCAGAATTCCAAGGGCGTATTTCACAGAGAGACCAAGCAACCCGAAAATTTGTATGGAATCGGGCTCCCCTGGTGGCGCAGTGGTTGGGAGTCCGCCTGCCGATGCAGGGGACGCGGGTTCGTGCCCCGGTCCGGGAGGATCCCACATGCCGCGGAGCGGCTGGGCCCGTGAGCCATGGCCGCTGAGCCTGCGCGTCCGGAGCCTGTGCTCCGCAACGGGAGAGGCCACAACGGTGAGAGGCCCGCGTACCGCAAAAAAACAAACAAACAAACAAAAAAACCAGAAAAATCACTGTTTAAAGTATTCGTAGTCCTGCGGGCAGGGTCCACATCCAGCCCTGGCACCTGGGGAAGACGAAATAGGTACCATTTACGGGAAGTGGGAGGGGCTGATGATAAAGCCAATGGAGGCCAGACCCAGCGGAGTCCGCACAGGGCCCGCAGCCTCCCGGCTGCAGGAGGCCGGGTGAGAGGCTGGGGGGTGTGCACATCCCGATATGGAGTCTGTGAGTCCATCTGAGTCCCCTCTGCTGCCTTCATGGGGCTTTTTGGGGAAGCCTCATCCCAGGCACACAGAGGCTGTGACCCGGCTTTCCAAGGAGGGTCCCCAGTTCCTCTTCTGGGGCCCATGAGCGAGCGGTGTGTCCTGTCCGCTGAGGCGCACGCAGGCATTCAACACGCATTTTACCCAGGTTTGTGTGTTTCACCACAGCTCAGAGTGGAAATGCTTGGCATATTCACAATTCCAGCCTTTCCTTGGAAGGAGGTGAACATTATCTTATCTGAGAAAAGGCTCTGTTATTCTTCCTGAGATTGATGATTCTTCATTAGCTCTATAACTTTCACAAGTATTTCACATTTTCCTAGAAAACGCATCAGTGTTATTTATAATTGACAACCTCCCCTTGGATGATTTAAGATGTACTCCTACCAAAGACATGAGTCCAGATATTAAATATTATTCAATGTCAATTACGCTGCGATTATTCTGGAAGCTTTTCTTTACATTCAATTTTCATTCATTTTGCTCGACTGTAATTTAAATAAGGGATTTCCTTTATTGGGTTAAACGTGTCCCAGTGCTTTAGCCAATAGCTGTGCAGAGCACACAGCTTCGAGCATCTTCTGAGATCTGGGGCCAAACTAAAATAAAGTGTGTTGTGTCTCCAGACTGGAGGAGAATCTATTATAATTCTTTTTTATAAAATAAATTTATTTATTTGTTTATTTTGGGCTGTGTTGGGACTTCGTTCCTGTGCGAGGGCTTTCTCTAGTTGCAGCAAGCGGGGGCCACTCTTCGTTGTGGTGCGCGGGCCTTTCACTGTCGCGGCCTCTCTTGTTGCGGGGCACAGGCTTCAGACGCGCAGGTTCAGTAGTTGTGGCTCACGGGCCTAGTTGCTCTGCGGCATGAGGGATCTTCCCGGACCAGGGCTCGAACCCGTGTCCCCTGCACTGGCAGGCAGATTCTCAACCACTGCACCACCAGGGAAGCCCCTATTATAATTCTTTTGAAGACTGTGAACAAAAATATAGGCAATGGCAGGATTATTTTTAATACCTGAAAGCATTTGCAATATTTCTGTCACAGTGCTATGGAAACTGCAGTGGGCAACAAGGAGACGCCTCGCTCGAGTGCAAGGGTCCTTCCTGCAGAGCTGAGGCAACGCTGACTTATTTCTTTAACTGGATGGCCCACTCCATCAGTTTGAGAAATTCACATTCAGGTAATCACTCAAGCCCCCACCTGACTGGACTGAGGGAAGCCCAGAGACTGGTCTTGGACTCCACTCCATGTCACCTGCGAATCCCCACCCCAAGGGGCAGGCTCTGTTTCCAAGGCCCCGCATCCCACAGAGGCAGTTGCCCTGGGAGGACCCAGCCTGCCAGGGGTCTGGGCTCAACCTCTTTTATACCTGGGGTAGCAGCGACGGCCGTCAGGCATTCCAGGGCCAGTTCCCGCCCGCAGGCCACCTTCAGCCAGCGGGGCTGCCCAGGGGGCACCTCCTGGAATCACCCTCACACTCGGGCCATGGTCCCCAGGCTCCATCAGTTTGAGCAGCCGGGTCCTGTGTCCTCCGAGCTGTCTCCTCCTTGGGCAGATGCTCTCTATTCCTTCATCCTAAATTCACGGACAAGGCCTCTGGATCCTTTTCCATCCTGTCATTAACATCTAGTCCCCAGAATTGGAAACAATCCTGCCGATGGGGTCCGACAACCTGAGGTGCGGTGAGATGATTCCTGCCCCGTCACATCCCCTCACGTATCCTAAGATTCCATCACCTCCCCAGGCGGCCACGCTGACACTCATGTTGGCCCATTGTGCTGTGGGCGCCTGAGTTCCCAAGGTCTCCTCATACGAACGGCTAAGCCAGGCTTCTCCATCACGGACGGATACAACCGGCTGACTGAACACGTGCAAGTTTAACTGAGTGATAGAAACCTGTGCTTGCAATGCTTCCGCTATTCAGATCACACCCTGAAGTTCCTTTATGCTGCAGCTCACCTCCTGTGGCTGCTTCAGCCAGAAACTGCCACCTGGGGGTCTGGGGGCCAGTGGGGCCACACTCACTTTGTTTGGCTAATAGGGTGTTTTTCTGAGAACTGATGCTGACCGTTGAACACAGGAGAACACACCTAAAAAGCGGTCCCCCAACTTCTCTGGAAAAGCAGAAAGGTGGGGTGGGGCTGGGCTGCCACGTCCACCTTTGCAAGGCCCAGCACAGCCCCCCAGGCCCTGCACAGCCACCCTGGCCCTGCCACACAGCCCTCCCGGCATCTGGGGCCCCCTGGCCTGCAGCCCACTTGTGCTACGGGAGTGGGTGAAGGCAGGGGCCCAAGGTGAGAAAGGTGAGGTTCGGTGGCCCCGTGTTTGCCCTTTGTGGCTCTGGTTGTGTGTAACAAGGGAAGCCGAGTGCAGGGGTGGTTCCCTCTGCCCAGCACGCCACGGGTCCTGGAACCCTTTCCTCTCCTTCTGGGTGACCCCTGAGGTGCCGCCAGGCTTCAGATGGTCCCCCCCTGCGGCCAGCACACATTGGTCCAGAAAGCGACCACCTGGGCCAAGCTGGGTGGCAGGGCTTTAAAACGTCCAGCCCACCACGGTGTCAGATGAGCGTCTTTTGTCAGTGGCTGAAGCCATGAACGAAATGCTCCTGGAGTTTGACCATGTTTCCTGTCATGTGGGTTGGGAGGTAGAGGCAGCTGGTACAAGAGAGGGAAGGAGACCACCCACCCCGGGGCCCACCTGCAGTGCCCTGGCCCAGCTCTTAGCCTGGGGTCCTGATTCCCATCACCTCTTCGGTTCCTTTTAAAACCTTGCTAGAGCTGGTTTCTGCTGCTTGAAACCCAAAGCAGCCAGGGCACGTCACCCTAGACAGCCCCTGCTCTCTGCCACCCCTCCCAGCTTCCCCGAGTCCTGTGTCCATGCCACCTGCTTTTGGATCAAGCATTCTGGGTCCTTTGTTATTCTGAGTGCGGGTCAAAGGGTGGAAGGAGGGCCATGTGCGGCCCCTAAGGGGGGGCCTGGCCCGAGGTCTGGGTCCCCGGGCAGCACGGGAGAGATGCCTCCGTCTCTCACTGGCAGTGCTGATGTGAATAACCGTGCACAATCCGCATTAGGAGAACCCGGAAGGCAGGTGGGGCAAGTCTCCTGCGGCCGTCAGAGGTCAGGAGCAAAGTTTCCATGAACTGGCAGCCTCACTTCGTGGACCAAGGATGTGACTCAGTACACCCGGAACACAGACGTTAAGATGTGCATTCAAATCGCCACTAGGCGAGGATTTGGAGGCTGTGTTTTCATTAATTCACAAATATTTATTGAACACCTACTATGTGTCAGGCATTGCCCTAGGCACTGGGGATATTACAGTGTAAAAATATGTGGCTTGCAGGGAGCTGGTATCATAGTGGACTGTGACCTTTTCCACGCATTCGGTTCTGGAGACAAAAACATTAACAAAATCCAGCCACAATGATTTCATAACTCTGAGCCTCACCTTCCTCACATGCAAAATGGGGTTAAAATAATTACCCAACAGGGCCGTTTAGAGGATTAAATAAAAAGATGCATGTTCGTGGCATTGAAGCCTCAACAACTATTACTTTCTTCCTGGAAAGTCAAAAAAGCTACACTTAGCTTCACAAACCGCAAGACAGCCAGACCGACCGGGAGTAGGGCCCTCGCGCCCTTCTGTTGTAGCCCCCTTTCGGAGATGTGCACGGTCCAGCGTCCTGCCCTGGACCAGGCTGCGCCGACCCCGGACTGGGCCCAGAGCGGCCACGAGGGGGCAGCGCTCGGCAGGGAATCTGTGCCACCGGCCGCGGCCCCGCGGCCCCCGGGCCTCCGTGCGCTCTTGCGTCGCTCTGACGCGCCCGAAGGCGGGCGCCGGGAAGGAGACCGCGTCTCCCCTCGCCTGCGTCTCCCGAGAAGGGGGTCGAGCGCGTCCCCAAGGGCGCCCTGCGCGAGGCTGGGGTCCGGCGGGCAGCGGCGCAGTCTTGGACGCGCGTCGCCGGGAGGACCTCAGCGCCCTCCCCTCCGCTTCGCCCGGCGCCCCGCGCCCACCCCGGCTCCGGAGCTGTCACTTCCGCGCGCCGCCGGGTAGGGGACCGGGCCGTCGTCGAGGAGGATGCCCGGGTGTTGGCTGCGTCCCCAGACTCCTGGCCGGCGCTGCCCAGGGAGGCGGTCCGCATAGCGCCGCCCAAACTTTCCTTCGCGGCGGCGTCAGGCGGAAACATCCCGCTCCGAGGCTCACGGAGAGCGAAGGGAGGCTCGGGCGCCAGAGGGGACAGGCCCGGGCCTGCGCGGGAGAGCGCCCCGGAGTTCCTGGGGACCCTGGAAGCGCCCTAACGGCAGGACTGCTGGCTGCGTGCGCCCAGGCGGAGGCAGCTCCAGGGCGCAGCTGCCCCTTCCCCGTGCCCCGCAGTGACCGTGACCTCCGCGCGCTCCCCGCGCACGTGCTCGCGGCCGAGGACGAGGAGGGGTCCCGCTGCGCCAGCTGGGCAGCCGCTCGCGGGCAGGCCAAGGGCGCACAGAGGCGGTGCGGGGGAGCGCGCACGCTGCGACCCCGCCTTCACGGCATCGGACTGGCCGCTGCGAAAGCAGAGCCGCCGGGTGTTGTGCCCGACAGGCAGCGCCGCTGGATTCCGTGCGGGGCGGACTCGCGGAGGGACAGGTGTAGCCCGCATTCGGCGGCGCCTCGCGCCGAAGAACTGGGTGGGCTCGGCGGCCCGGAGGGGGCTCGCGGGGCTCGGAGCTCCGGTCCCTGCCACGCAGGCCGGTTGGCACCACTTAGCGCTGCCAGCCGCACAGAAGGAAGTCGCAGCGCAGCCCGGTTCCCCAGCGGCTGCTCGGGCGCGACCCTGGCGCCCACTGCCCGCGGCGGCCTCCGCAACGGCCCCGGGACCTAGAGGTGCGCGCCGCCGCCGGCGCCGCCCCCATGCTGCTCGGAGCGCCCAGGCTGTGCGCGTCCAGGGCGGCCGCCGCTGCGCAGAGCGAGGGCGACGGCGACAGGCTGGGCGGGGACATGGACGAGTCGTCGCTCCTGGACCTGCTGGAGTGCTCCGTGTGCCTGGAGCGCCTGGATACGACGGCCAAGGTGCTGCCCTGCCAGCACACCTTCTGCCGCCGCTGCCTGGAGAGCATCGTGTGCTCGCGTCACGAGCTGCGCTGCCCCGAGTGCCGCATCCTCGTGGGCTGCGGCGTGGACGAACTGCCCGCCAACATCCTGCTGGTGCGCCTGCTGGACGGCATCCGCCAGCGGCCCCGCGCCGGCACCAGCCCTGGCAGCAGCCCACCCGCGCGTCCTGGTCCGGGCCCCGGCCCCGGTTCGGGAGCGGCCTCGGCGCTCGCGGGTCCTGGGGGCAGCGCCTCTGGCTCCCCGGTTCTCCTCCCCGCGGCGACCAGCGCCAACGCCAGCCTGCGCGAGCTGGCAGCCAGCAGGAGCGCGCCCCCAGCAAAGGTGGGTATGTGCTTCGCCGAGGTGTGAGTGTGTTGGTGGGGGGAGGGCGGCGAGGAAGGGCAGGGGACCAGAGGTGCTACGCGATGGCCTTCTTTCTCGACTTGCTTCCCTCCAGGGACTCCGTGAGTGTAACCTTCCAAGTCCTACTTGGCAACTCTTGGACATCACGTGCTCCCCTCCGCCCCCTCCCCTTTGAACTTCTCTTTGGCACCTGCCGTCAGCCCATCCTCTCCCCTGGAATCCCTTTCCGCTTGCACTTGCTCTGTGGTGGCCTGTGCGTGTGTGGCAGCCCCCCGCCCTCCCTGAGGCGGGCAAGGCTCCCTGCCCCCCTGCTCCCCTTCAGTCCCTCGCAAGGCTGGGCCTCTTTCCCCACCTTTTAACTTTGCTGGGCCCTCCATCTCCCCAGACACAGCCTTCTTCTCCTGGACCCCCAGACCAGCCCTCCCCACACCCTCGCCCGCCTGGACTGAAGTTAGCACCTAGTGTTTTCCCAGGTTCTGGCAGCTGGGAAGATGGTGGGCCTCCTGCCTGGTGTCTGGCCAGGGAGGACCTGGCAGAGGCAACTGAGTGCCTGGGTTGCAAGAACGCAAAGTACAAGCTCCTTTAGCAGGAGGGGAGAAGTTAACCTGGAGCCCAGGAATGCTTGGCTCAGCCCTTCTGGACTTGGCCCCTGGTCCTCCCCTGGGTTCTCAGGCCCATTGTGTTTCCACTGGGTTGCTATTTGAGGTGTGTGTGTGTGTGTGTGTGTGTGTGTGTGTGTGTGTGTGCAGCTACATTGTACAGCATGGACTGCTTCTGTTTCAAAGACCTTATCTTGAGGGTTCCGGTGATTTGGTTTCAAGAGCTACTTAGAGTGTGTCATTTCACACCCTCGGCCGCCTTGGGCACTGTTGCTGGAGGGAGGCGAGCCCGTGGGATGCTGGTTTAGGTGAGAAACGAGGAACTGCTCATGTTCTGTGTTTTCTTTAAATGTAGAAAAGCTTGAAAAGGTTCTTGGTTTATTGCAAATATCATTCACTTCAGAAAGCACAGCCGTGTCCCTCTACTCTTGACCTTTTAAAGATCCGGTGGTGTATAAACCATTTAAATAATCCTGCCCAAATGTGAAGTGCTGAGGTGAGGGGAAAGTTCTCCATCCAAATTTCTCAGCACTGCAGTGTCTCTGAGGTTAGGAACTTAAGCCCTTGAGGGTTAAGCTTTGGAGTTAAAAGTCAGACTTTGCCACACTGGACTTTTCCTATAGATCAGGGAAATGGAGGCTCAGGGAGAATGCCCGTTCTCAAGTCAAGAATAGTCAAGGAATGTTTATAAATGGGGTCACTGCTGAAGGGGAGTTGATGTTAATTTATTTGGTTTTAATGGTGATTAAATCCAGCTACAAGTGTTCTTATTACAGATTTTCAAACTTTTCTTTCCTGCCTTGCTGTTATTATCTAAAGTATTATAATTAGAGGTCTTTATTTGCAAAATAACCAGGTTACTTCTTCCTGCTCGGAGAACTAAATGATTTTTGGAATGATGCTTCTAGTGGGGACGTTTTGTGAGTTGTGTTTGATCAGGAGGGCGGCGGGTAACAACTGGCCTTGAGGCAGCTCCTGGGCTCCGTGGCATTTGTGGCATTTAAAGACGTTTGTGAAGGGGCTGAACTTACAACTTTTATTCATAACACTTAGTACCAGGGAATTAATAATTTTTTGTCGCCCGGATTTTGGGATGATTGGTTGACTTTCTCTCGGGACACATACATACAGCTAACAGACTATGTCCAGGGCTGTCTGAGCCTAGCGGACTCTGGAACACATTTCCTTTTTTCCTGTGTTATCTCAGTGTGACCCCCGGTCCTTTCTTCCAGGTCCCACTCACCAGGGGGACCAAGCTTGGGTCCTAGGAAGAGTCTGAATTAAATCCGATATTACATTTGATGATTTTCAGAGAGGAAAGAAAAAGTAGTGGCCCTGTAGACTGTAGTATCATCTAGCCTTTAATCTACTGATTTTCAATAGTCATTGGGAGTCTTTTTGGGCAACCAGACGTCCCGCATAGAGGGCTGCACTGTAAGCAGGTCTGTGAGTGTGGCGGCAAAGCCTTCAACTGAGCATCACTTCCAAATAGGCTCTGGTACTTGACTGTCCACTGGATGAAGTCCTGGGCCGGGGTGTTGCCACGTGCTGTGTAATAGATGGGCACTCGTTATCAACGGGTACCATATATGCCTTAGTAGTAGGTGACTGTAAATATAAGACAGTCCCGTTTCCCATTGAGATGCTGCTCCAACCTTCCTTTGGGACGTGTGGACGTTTTGGGTGGGTAGATCGGCAGGTATCCGCTTAAATGTTTGTTAATTTAGTGACAGGTAGCTGCTGGGAATGTACTCACTCCGTTTGGTTCCTGAAGCACTTTCCACACCTTTCACTCACATCTTTCACCAGCGTTGCCTGGACCCTCCAGCCTGGTGGGCGGAGCTCTGCTTTCACCTGTGCCTCTGAGACGAGGCATCAGGGATCAGTTAATTATGCTGCCCCGGAACCTTTACACCGTGTTACGATGCCCAAGGCTAGCAAATGCTTGCCATGCTGTGCTGGCACTCAGAGCCGCCTTAGCTCTTTGAATGCGCTGCCATCGCAATTGCTGAGTTTCTTGGCCTAATCTGTTTTTTGTTCTGTTTTACAGTTTTGCAAGGTGACCCCTTAAACACCCTAACTACATTGATGGAGGTTTTCAGTGCAACTTGTCTTTCCGGGAGGGTTTTGAGGTTCTCAACCGAGTAATTCAGAGAGTACTTTTTAATGTGTCTGAATAAGGCTCTAATATATCAGACAGTTCCAATTTTTTGTGATTATTTTGGTGGGAATCCCTTGCCTTGTATTTGGCGTACACAGCTTTTGCTACGTACCTGCACTGGGCCAGGCACCATCCTGGGTGAGCCAGGCGGGTGTGTCCCCTGATGGAGCTGGCGTTAGGGGCCGAAGCCGTTGTGCTCTCAGGAGGTTCCTGTGGGCACGGGGCAGGTGTCGGCCAGAGTTCTGTGAAGGTTAAAGGGAGGACGTCATCACAATCAAAGGCCTCTGGAAGGCTTCGGTAAGGCTCTTGCTGATGGGAAACAGAGTCAGAACCTGTTTAGTTTGCCTGCAGTTACTTGGGGATGTTTAAGTTGGAAACCTGTGTATCTCTTGGCCAGTGTGACTGGGACCCAGAAATGAGATAGTGGAGTGAATCACACAAATGGTGTCTATTAGACATTTTATCTTGCAAACACACACGTGTAATAACTCGCCATTTTTTGGATGCAGGATCTGGACTGTTCTTTGCCTTCTAACCTGTCTTTCAGTCACAACCTATGATTTCCTATTTGTTTCTTTCAAGTGGACTGAGAACTAAGAGACTTTCCAAAAATTCTGAGTGGAGCACCTTCCAGATTTTAAATAATCCCCCCTCAGTGTGTTCTGGTTTTGTTCCTGCTGATGTGAGTTTTAAAGCTGTCTCTCTTTGCTGAGTCTTTCCTAAGCAGTCACCTTGGTTTTCCAAAGAGTGACTTCTTGTGCACTTAGATTTCTTTGGTTTGCATACTGTTTAATTAGAGTTTATGTTTATATGTAAGTATGTAAGCACACTTGCATCAACATGCTTGGGAATCCAGACTCCCTGGGCAGGAGTGATGGCCTGGGCAGTGGCTGGCCAGGCGGCAGCCCTCCATAGGGTGGACGCCCTGGCTGTCCGGTGCAGGGTTAGGGTTAGGACATTACTGCGTCGTGGGGGTGGGTGGCTGTGGCTTGGTCTGGGGTGTAACGGGGACTCCAGAGAAGAGGCCTGGAGGCCTCACGGAAGCCAGGCAGCTCCCGGGATGGCAGACAGTGGTGACCGTGGTCTCTGTGACGCCGGGGCAGACGCCGGCCTTTGTGACAGATGAGGCACGGCCAGTCCTTCGGGACGTGTTTTCAGAAGGGCGGTGGGATGCGTGACTGTTGATGGAGCGTCTGCCGTGTGCAGGGCGTGCCGGGCGGTGTAAGTGTGTCTCCTTGCTTCCCGACCGCAGCTCAGAGAGGCAGCTGGTTAGCACATGGGAAGCTGAGCTCCGAGACCCCATCGCTCAGGGGCACTGGAGTTGGGGTGACCTTGAAAGGTGAACTCTGGACGCACCGGCTAACTGGCTTCCTGGTTAGACGCCTCTCCCTACCACGAACCTGGTTAATCAGAGACCCTGGTCCGAAAGCAAGGGGCCTGGGCCCTGAGGTCCACTCTGCACGCGGCTGCAGCTGCTTCTGGCTCGGCTGCTGTGGGCGGGCTGGTGCGGAGTGCGGTGGAGGGGGTCCCCGGGGAGTGCGGTGGCTTTGGGGGCAGGTCACTGGCAGCCGTAGGTCTGGAGTCCGGGGTGCCTGGGGTTTGTCCGGGGCTCCGTTCTGTCCTCAGGGATGCGTCCTCATCCATCCTTCTGCTCTGCCACCATCCTGGTGTCACCCCAGCCCCACCCAGGGGTCTCAAGGTTAGATGCGGGGGCCTTGGGCATCTCATCCGAGTGACATTCCGAGAGGCCAAGTGGTCAGTCTCCAAGTTGGGGAGCAGACCTGACTTGGCCATCTGGCCGGAGCCCGGACCAGCCCACCTCTGGGGGCTTTGGGACCCAGGACCACCTCCCTCTGAGGCTGCGGCCCCGCCCCACCAGCATCCCGGACTAGGCGACGGAGGGATCCCTGGGCTCCTCAGGGTCCTGTGAGGATGGAGGGTGGGGGACTTGGTGGGCAGCCAGGCCTGGCACGGGGTGGGGTGTGTGTTAATCAGTGAGTGAGGGCACCTGTCTGCTTTACCGGGTGACAGAGGCAATGCAGGTGCAGGCTTAGCGCACCCTGTGGGCCATTGGCTCAGTGCCACCACTAACATGCATCTCGAAACCTCGAATCACCACTGAGGTGCACTGCACAGGCCCACCTCACTGCTAGTGGGGTCAGTGTCCTAAATTACGGGTGTGTGTGTGTGTGTGTGTGTGTGAGAGAGAGAGAGAGAGA